CATCCCATCCCCTTCAAACCCCTCTCATCCCATCCCCTTCAAACCCCTCTCATCCCATCCCCTTCAAACCCCTCTCATCCCATCCCCTTCCAGCCCTTCTCATCCCATCCCCTTCAAACCCCTCTCATCCCATCCCCTTCAAACCCCTCTCATCCCATCCCCTTCAAACCCCTCTCATCCCATCCCCTTCAAACCCCTCTCATCCCATCCCCTTCCAGCCCTTCTCATCCCATCCCCTTCAAACCCCTCTCATCCCATCCCCTTCAAACCCCTCTCATCCCATCCCCTTCAAACCCCTCTCATCCCATCCCCTTCCAGCCCTTCTCATCCCATCCCCTTCAAACCCCTCTCATCCCATCCCCTTCAAACCCCTCTCATCCCATCCCCTTCCAGCCCCTTCGATCCTCTTTCAGTCCCTCCCACCCCGGCAATAAAATATCTAGAGGGTGTGTTGAATCGTATGCATTCCCCCTAATGCCCTCCTCCCTGTACTGCCGATCTCCTTATTTGCGTGACGTTCACACCCACTCCATCCCATCCTGGCCCTCCCGTACCCTTCTCATCGTTCTCTGCATCCTGAGCATCCTCTATTGACGTCCCCAGCTTTTACTCTGGAAAATGGGTTTCCAAATAATTCTTTTTATGTATTTAGTGTAATGGGAAATGAGAAATCGTTACACCAAACTTGTTGAAGTGCAGATACCTAAATGGACAATGAAACTCATAAAAGTTCCTAATATCGTACGGCTAAGCGAGCTCGACAACACACAATTGGAAGTGTATGCATGGGGGTTGAATCACAATTAGAAGCCGTCAACTAAGCAAGATGCCGCACGTGCTGTAGGGTTTGCTGTCGCATGCCTGGCATTGGTGTGTAGCAGAGGGGAGCGAGAGTGTGGGCCGCTTGGTGGACCTGCTAGTGAGAGGAGTGGGGGGATTGGGATAGAGGTTGTGGGGGTCTTGTGCCTGAGGAAGGAACACTGGCAGAGGCAGCAGGGGCAGCTCCGGCAATGGCAGCAGCAGTGACAGTAGGGGTAGGGACAGAAGAAGTAGGCGCAAAGAGAGAGGTGCACGAGTGGCCGCATTTGTGCCTGAGCCAAAAAAACAGGTGCGGAGCAAGGAAAGGGTGGGCATGAGAGGGGTGGGGATGGGTGTGGGCATCGGAAGGTGGGCATGGAGATGGGAGAGCGTGGAAGGGAGAATGGAAAGGAGGGAGTGGGGGCCATCACGAACAATGGAACCACCCTGTAAGGAGGGGGAGCAAGGAGGGGGGAAGAAGGGGAGAAGGGGGGAAAATGAACGGTTGAAGGGGGGAAATGAGAGGGAAGCAGGGGAACTGAGAGGGAGAAGGGGGAAACGATGGTGAGCAAGGGGGAAATGAAAGGGAGTAGGGGGGAAAATGATAGGGAGAAGGGCGGGAATGAGGGTGGGAAGAGGGCGAAGTGAGAGGGAGAAGGGGGGTAAGTGAGGGGGAGCAGGGGGAGAACTGAGGGCGAGAAGGGGGGGGGGGATGAGAGGGAGCAAGGGGGGAAATGAGAGGGAGAAGAGGGGGGGGGGAAGAGAGGGAGAAAAGGGGGATTTGAGAGCTAGAAGGGGGGGATTTGAGAGGGGGAATGGGGACAAAATGAGATGGAGCAAGGGGGGAAAGGAGAGTTGAGAAGGGGGGGAAATGAGGGGGAGAAGGGGGGAAAATGAGGGGGAGAAGAGGGGGAAATGAGAGGGAGAAGGGGGGAGGGGATGAGAGGGATGAGGGGGGGATTAAGAACGAGAAGAGGGGATATGTGGGGGAGAAGGGGGGGGGAATGAGAGGGAGCAGGAGGGGGAATGATGGTGAGTAGGGGGGGAGCTGAGAGGGAGCAAGGGGGGAAATGAGAGGGAGCAAGGGTGGAAGTGAGAGGGAGTAGGGGGGAAAATGAGGGCGAGAAGGGGGGGGGGGATGAGGGGGTGAAGGGGGGGGGGTGAGAGGGATAAGAGGGGGATTTGAGAGCGAGTCGGGGGGAATTTGAGAGGGGGAGAAGGGGGGGAAATGAGAGAGAGAAGGGGGGTTAATGAGAGGGAGGAGGAGGGAAATGAGAGGGAAAAGGGAGGAACATGAGAGGGAGAAGGGGGGGAAATGAGGGGGAGAAAGGGGGAGATTAAAGGGAGAAGGGAGGGTAATAAGAGGGAGAAAGGGGGGAAATGAGAGAGAGAAGTGGGTGAAATCAGGGGGACCAGGTCGGGAAATGAGAGGGAGAAGGGGGGAAATGAGGGGGACGAACGAGAGAAGGCGGTCCCGATGAAAGCGAGACGTTTTGACGAACGAAGTGGCTTGTGAGGCGAGCAGCGCGTGAGACGAGCAGCGTGTGAGGCGAGCAGCGCGTGAGACGAGCAGCGTGTGAGGCGAGCAGCGCGTAAGGCGCGCAACGAGTGAGGCGCGCAGCGCGTGAGGCACGCAGCCCGTGAGGCGAGTCGCGGGTGAGGCGCGCAGCGCGTGATGCGAGCAGCGGGCGATGCGAGCAGCGGGTGATGCGAGCAGCGGGCGATGCGAGCAGCGGGTGATGCGAGCAGCGGGTGATGCGAGCAGCGGGTGATGCGAGCAGCGGGTGATGTTAGCATCGGGTGAGGCGAGCCGCGGGTGAGGCGCTAAGCTGTAAGCTGGTGAGGCGCGCAGCGGGGTAGGCGAGAAGCAGGTGACGTGCTAAGAGGGTGTCGCGAGCTGCTTGTTCGGCGAGAATTACTTGGCGAGGACAACGAATGGATCGCGGCGAACCCGCCTAATGCTATTGAATGATCCAGACGGCGCTGGAGCTGAAGGGAGTTGGCGGGCACTAGACGGTCCTTGTCGTGACTACGTGTGCAATCTAACACCAGCGACTGTGTAAGTGGTTGCGCTGTTCCAGTCACTGCCTCGTCGCCTCCCGTGTAGTTCTATCGCAGCCCCGTTAGTAACATCGCGACTTGTTTTTGTATCAGTGAGCACCATTTTGTAGTTTGGGTGACGGGAGGGTGTTTATGCCCTGACAACGCAACCCTCACTGGACGCTTCAAATTTTCGCCAACCTCTCGCCAAGCTCATTCGATCTCGTTGTGGCGACATCTTTTTGGACACTGTTCAAACCGCAACAGTACTTTCAAATGTATACAAAAGCTTTAAACATTGCTTCCACCGGCATTGCAAGCTGCACTGCTTCGCTCCCATCGCTGCTCGCAGCTTACTCTCGCCCAGAAGAGTGCTATCTGTGCCCACCATGCCAACAATCCTAGGCTGCGTCACGAGGAATTGGCACAGTGGTGCTTCACCTGCTTTGGTGTGCGCCCGGACCGATCCACTATCGGCAAGGTCATCAAGGCAGAAGAGAGCTGGAGATCTTCTTTCGAGGAGAACTCCAGCTCCGTGCGTGTGCGTGATGGTGCCCATCTCGAACTAGAGCGTCGTGTTATCAGGTGGATTGGTTCCGCCAGCCCCGCCGGCGTCCCGTTGATACTGCAGACAATCCGCGATCACGCGGTCGGCCTTGCGCGTAACATGAGCATGCCACAGACTTTCCGCTGCTCCATCGGTTGGGTACGCCAAACCATGAAGCGTCACGGCGTGCGTTGTATGAGATTTGCATGCGAGGCGGCTGACCAGGACATGCGCCGTCATGACCTGCAAGGAAAAGATGCCGCAGCTCCTCATGCATCTCCGCGTGGCGGCCCGCAACGTCTACAACTTTGACGAGACTATGCTTTACCTTTCGGTCCTGCCTAGGAAGACATACGGGAGGGCACGCGTGGCGGATAGGAGGATTCCTAAGGAGCGCCTAACCGTCGGGCTTCTTGTCAACGCAAACGGCACCCATGCCTTCAGACCTCTCATCACTCCAAGTCGCGGCGCCCGTGTACGTTTGTCCGACTACGATTCCGAGCCTCACGGCTTGGCGCTCGAACGCCAAGGGCTGGATGACACCGTCGGTGAGTGACAAGTTGTATTTTATGCTGGGTCGAGTGCAAAGGTGTTCGTGTTTGTGTTGTGGCAGTTTTAATATCAAACCCGTAACTGATTGTTTTATGGTTTTGTACTTACCCCGTGCATTGTTGCCTGGTTCTGTGCTTACCCCGTGCATTGTTGTCATGTTTGCGCCCCACCAACAACTGTTTACCCACTTCATGGAGCAGCTCAACGCTACATATTTCGCTGAGGGGCGGAACATCATCATACTGCTGGACAACGCCAGCAGCCACGTGATGTGCACCGAATCAGCCGCCGCGGAGGACCTGTTTGGTTTCAGGTCAAAGTCATTGAGCAACACCAGCCTGGTTTACCTTCCCCAAAGACAACTTGTTTCACCCAGCCTCTCGACCAGGGTATCATCGCCATGATGAAGGCTCGCTACCGCGCGCATTGGCCGCGCAAATTCACGGCTCAGTGGGACTCGGCCGGTGCAATGGCAGCACTGGCGCGCAACCTTCCGAACTTGCGGGACGTTATTGAGTGGCTGAGCGACGCATGAATGAACATTCCACCGCGGTCGATTCAGCGCTGCTGGTGGCGCATTGGATGTCCGCCGACCACTTGGGAGATGCAGCTCGAGCACGTAGGCGAGCCGGTGTCGACGACAATCACGAGGTAAACGACCTCGAGGATGCCATGGCAGACATGGGCTTGCTTATCGCCGTCCGTAGCTCTAATCAAGCGCGATGCCTGCCTCCGAGCTCGTTGCGTTCGACGAGAAACAGCCGACCTCCCACGAGCCAGTCGAGGACCAGCTTGCCGAGGAGCCCACGTTCCCTTGGACCCACTCAACTTGGGGCACCCCGCCGTCGCCTGCGGATGACTCCAGCGACGGCGAAGCCGCGACGCGCAAAACACGTCGCACTGCAAGTGCAGCATGCGAGATGCGCATAGGATACACGCGTGCCATTAACATTGTGCTGCGCGGCCTTCATGCTCTGTTCGAAACTCGCAACCCGATCATTGTCGAGCGCCTTGAGCGCACAAGCCCACGTTTCAAATTGAACAACCCCCCTCCCTCCTCCCCCCCCGGGGCTCCCCCGCCTCGTCCCCATGGACGTGTCCTCCCTTGGTGGATGCTGGCAGGGCGTTGCCACCAGGAGCTCCTTGATGCTGGAGTTGGCGCAGCCACGGATGGCTATCTCGAGGCCGCCGAGTGGATGCGCAACAATGTGTGCACAGGAGTGCATGACTACACAACTCGTGCACTTGTGTTTTGTTCCCTCTTCGAACGTGGGAAGTTGTGATTGGTGGACATGTGTTTGTTAGTGTTTGTAATATTGCATATGCCACTGTTGTTGTGTTTGTTATTCACGACTAAAAAAATTGTACGGGAACATGGAGAGTTGCAGTAATGCAGGTAACCAGCAGAACCAGACGAACACAACAAACACCGCCAATCCCCAGAACACTACCTAGAAACGCCAAACGCATTACTGACGTGTGCGTAGCCTATCCCGCTGCGAAATGAGAGACACCTGCCGAAAAAGATGGTTTGACTGTAGCGGGCATCAGGTGTACAAGTAGACCTAAGAAGCAGGATGTGCAACCCCTCTTGGACTGAATTACCATGCAGAGCCAATCAAGCGAGAATCTGCCAATCAATTCGCACTGCCAATCTTATCTGACGGAAGGCGTTGACTGAAATAGCCTTGCAAGTTGCACCCCCCTCCTCTTCCCCTCTCCAACCCCTCCTCTTCCCCCACCCACATCCCTTCCTCCAGCCCCTCCTCTTTCCCCCCACCTTCCCCCCTCCAGACCCTCATCTTCAACCACCCACTTCCCCCCTTCCAGCCCCTTCTGTTCCCCCACCCACCTCCCCCCCTCCAACCCATCCTCTCCCTCCTCTTCCCCTTCCCTCCCCTTCCCCCTCCCCTCCAGCTCAACCCCTTACCAGAGCACCCCTTGCAGCTCAAGCATCTGCCCTCGCCACTGCCTTCCTCTCCCTCACTACAAGCCTGAGAGGCTTAACAAGAGTCATGGACAGCCCCAAGGTTTCCGTCATGTCCACCCCTCCAGCTGCCCTCGCCTCTTCGGGCAGCTCAAAATCAAACCGCCGAACAAGATTCGCCAGCAGGCGGGCAGACATGTCGATTCCCAGGGTCTTCCCGAGGCAGCCGCGCCTGCCCGACCCAAAGGGCAGCAGGCTGAAATGTTGCCCGAGCATGTCAGGGGCAGCAGGGTCAAGAAACCTGGAGGGGTCGAATTCGTGCGGATTGTTGCAGACCTTTGGATCGTGCGCAAGAGCCCAGTAGTTGATATTGATCATGGTATTGGGAGGAATGTTGTAACCCCCTAAGGTTACGCTGCCAGTTGTCAGGCGCGGGAAGAAGAGTGGAGTGACGGGGTGATGCCTAAATTGTTCTTTCAACACAGCCTGCAAATACGGCATCTCCTGTACCGGAAGCGAGACCATGACACCAGATTCTCCGCCTGGCGCCCCAGTTTCGGCGGCCGCACTTGCTGACTTGGCATACGCCGCATCCACCTCAGCACGGAGCCTTTCCAGCACGTCCGGGTGCTGAACCAGCTCAGCAAGCGTCCACTCGACGGTCTTGGAGGTGGAATCGGTGCCCGCCAGCATCATGTCGAGAGCGAGCATGAGAAGCTCAGTTTTATTGATCTCATCCTCCCCGTCACCTTCCATCTCCAGCAACACATCGACAAGCGTGGAGAGCGAAACCCTCCTCGATTAGAGCAATCAGCATCTCTCCTTCCTTCTTCTCCGCTGCAGACCCCGTAGCTGGAGCTGCAGCCGCCTCGGCATCGCCGCACATCCCGCCGCGTTTTCCGCCGGTTATGGCGGCGACGCGTTCGTTCCAGTCGATATTCATCGCATCCTCGAGAATCGCCTTCGACGAGACGTCGGCTGCGCCGCGAATGGAGGAATAGCAAAAGCGCTTCCCGACAGTGAGGCGCAAAATGTTGTTGAGCGTTGCGCGAGTCAAGTACCTTCGCACTTCTATCCCGTCGTCAGCAGCAGTTGCGTCAACAGCAATCGCGTCGAGCATGCCGCGAATCTCTTCCTCTCGCACGGGAAGGCTTTCCTGCAGTTTCTTCGCAGACAGAAGGTGGAGCGTCGCCAGCCGTCGCATCTTTCGCCAATGATCATTGTCTGGCGAAAACGCGATGTTCTGGCCGTCCAAAGAGAAAATCGCCACCGTTTTAAGCACCGGGCGGGACGAGCAGAGCTTATCGTTCGTTTTCATCACCTCGCAAGCGACCTCCGGCGACGAGACGATCAATTTCGGCGTGGAACCGAACCAGATAGTCATGATCGGGCCGTACCTGTCCGCCAGCTTCGCCAGGGCGCGGTGCGGCAGGAGACCTAGTTGGGGGAGGTTGCCGAGGATGGGCCATGGGGAAGGGCCCGGAGGTAAGGGGGATCGACGGCGGAGGAAGGAGAGCAACGAGGTCGAGACGACTAGCGCGACGGCTGCGAGTATCGCCACGATGAGCGATGGTGATTGCAAGGAACTTGCTATGATGGGCCATGCTTCTGCGGTGATGACGGACTGAGTGTCCATGACGGCTTCAGGCTTTCCAATGAGGAAACCAGAATGGACTTAGTGTGGGTGCTGCAGGCAGATAAAGGCCTTCCGGAAGAGGAAGAAGGCATTGAGACGAAGGCCGGCCAGAGTGGGCGCCGATGAGGGAACTGGGGAGCATTGTGGATGCGGCAAGGCTGCAGGTCTGGCCTTCAACGCCCAGGGAGTGGCGGAAGATGGTGTAGCAGCTGAGAGCGGTTGCACTACGGGCGTACATGGGGAGGGGTGGGGGAGTAAGGGGTGATAAATTGCGGCGAATAGGCGGCGCCTATGCATGTCCAAGGTGGAGAAAGCAGAAGGGGATGGGGAGGACCCACCACTGAGGCTGCAGGAGGCGGGGCTCTGTGAGGGGGAAGGTCCTGACTAGTTGAGCGCGGCAAGGGGATGCTCCGCAAGGTAAAGAACTGGATTCGCGGGCTGCAGTGTGGTGTATGTTTTTCTGAGGGTGCACTCCAGTCCAGGAAAGCTGGGCATTGGAGAAAAGCCGGCTTGACGAAACTGCACGAGCGGCATCGTGAATCGTGGAATGAGAATGTGTGCAGACGTGGGGGTGGGGAGAAACTGCAGAAAGTGCCGGCGGTGCGGAAAGGTTGAATCGCTGAATATATTTACAAGAAATTCGGCTATGATCAGTAAAAATATATCAATCAAACAATTGATTTTTGGAAGAAAACTAAAAAGGTTGCTTTGGCAATTCAGGTGAAGCCTAAATAAACAAACTAGGTAACAACAATTTTTGGGTTGCGTAGCAACCCTATACATTTGGTAGCACTTTTCGGTCGACTCGAATGAACAGTGCAGTTTTTGTCATTTTCCCAACGTTTAAAACCCTCGTTTTAACGTTTTCAAAACGAGTGCTCCAAAGTTGTGGACATGACGAAAGCACTGACACAAGAGTCCCCCAAAAATGAAACCAAATGTAACCTTTCATTCCATAATCGTCGATAAATACGGCGAATGGAACAATCGGTCGTCACGAAACACAATTGACGAGAAACATCCACTGGACGTGAACGCAAATCATGTGCAGCGCATCCATTGATCACGTGCAAAAACAACACATAACAACTAAGAGTGAATGCTAAAATGCATTGATGCTACAACAGAGATGGTTCCGGTGTGCTAAGGCGAGCAACGCTGCCCCAACAACGATCCCCACCTCAAATGCAGACCCGACACAATTTAACATCACATCTCAGTTGCATCACACGTGCAAAATCAACACAAACAACTGTGAGTGAATGCTAAAATGCATCGGTGCTACAGTAGAGGTGGTTCCGGTATGCTAAGGCGAGCAACGCTGCCCCAACAACAATCCCCACCTCAAATGCAGACCCGACACACTTTAACATCACACCTTAGTTGCATATACAAGGCACTTCAGCACACGCCTCGAGACAGACAGGTGCAAACAAACACACACACATACCGTATCTCACATAGGCGCACACGCGCACGTACATACGCACATGTACAACACACACTAACACACACGCAAACAAGCACAGATAGATACAGAGACCGTAATAAAGACACAACCGTCATGAATAAAATTCAGAAATGCAGAAATGATTGCTGGCCTATCCCACCTTCCCCTCCCTACAACCCTCCCTCCCTCCTTCCCTCATCTCCATCCCACTCCCTCCCTCATCTCCCTTCGCAGCTCATGCGCCCTGCACAAAGCGAAATCAGGGAAGTCAACACACACACGCCCTGCACAAAGCAAAATCAGGGAAGTCAACACACACGTGCCCTGCACAAAGCAAAATCAGAGAAGTTGGCACACACGCGCCCTGCACAAAGCAAAATCAGAGAAGTTAGCACACACGCGCCCTGCACAAAGCAAAAACAGAGACGTCAACACGCGCCCTGCACAAGCAAAAACAGAGAAGTCAACTCTCACACGCGCCCTCTCACGCTCGCCCACGCGCTCTCTCACACGGACTCTCACGCGCTCTCTCACACGAACTCTCACGCGCTCTCTGACACTCTCTGACCTGCTCTCTCATGCGCACACTCAAGCGCTCTCACTCGCTCACTCACGCGCTCTCTCACGCGCTCTCTCATGCGCTCTCTCACGCGCTCTCTCATGCGCTCTCTCACGCGCGCTTTTACGCGCACTCTCACGCGCTCTCTCACGCGCTCTCTCCTGCGCTCTCTGACGCACTCTCGCACACGCTCTCTCACGCTCTCTCACGCACTCTTTCACGCGCTCCCTCACGCGCTCCCTCACGCGCACTCTCTCGCACATTCTCTCTCTCTCACGCGCTCTCTCGCGCGCTCTCTTGCGCGCTCTCTCACGCGCTCTCTCGCTCGCACTCTCACTCGCCCTCTCACGCGCTCTCTCACGCGCACTCTCACGCGCTCTCTCACATGCTCTCTCACGCAATCTCTCACGGGCTCTCACGCATTCCGTCGCACTCCCTCTCGCGCACTCTCTTGCACATTCTCTCTCTCACGCGCTCTTTGATGCAATCTCTTACGCGGTCCTTCACTCGCTCTCTCACGCGCTCTCTCACGCACTCTCTCACGCACTCTCTCACGCGCTCTCTGACACGCGCTCTCTCACGTGCTCTCTCACGTAATCTCTCACGCACTCTCTCACGCGCTCTCTCACGCGCTCTCTCACGGGCTCTCACGCGCTCCCTCACGTGCTCTCTCTCGCGCACTCTCTTGCGCATTCCCTCTGTCACGCGCTCTTTCTCGCGCACTCCCACGCGCTCTCTTACGCGCACTCCCACGCGCTCTCTTACGCGCTCCCTCACGCGCTCTCTCACGCGCTCTCTCACGCGCTCTCTCACGCGCACTCTCACGCGCACTCGCTCTCTCACGCGCTCCCTCACGCGCTCTCTCACGTGCTCTTTGATGCAATCTCTTGCGCGGTCCTTCACGCGCTCTCTCACGCGCTCTCTCACGCACTCTCTCACGCACTCTCTCACGCGCTCTCTGACACGTGCTCTCTCACGCGCTCTCTCACGCGCTCTCTCACGCGCACTCTCACGCGCACTCGCTCTCTCACGCGGTCCCTCACACGCTCTCTCACGCACTCTCTCACGCGCTCCCTCACGCGCTCTCTCACGCGCACTCTCACGCGCTCTCTCACGCGTTCGCGCTCTCTCACTCGCACTCTCACACGCACTCTCGCGCACACTCTCACGCGCACTTTCACACGCACTCTCACGCGCTCTCACACGCTCCCTCACGCGCTCTCTCACGCACTCTCTCACGCTCTATCTCACGCACTCTCTCACGCGCTCTCTCACGTGCTCCCTCACGCACTCTCTCACGGGCTCTCACGCATTCCGTCGCACTCCCTCTCGCGCACTCTCTTGCACATTCTCTCTCTCACGCGCTCTTTGATGCAATCTCTTACGCGGTCCTTCACTCGCTCTCTCACGCGATCTCTCACGCACTCTCTCACGCACTCTCTCACGTGCTCTCTGATACGCGCTCTCTCACGTGCTCTCTCACGTACTCTCTCACGCACTCTCTCACGCGCTCTCTCACGCGCTCTCTCACGGGCTCTCACGCGCTCCCTCACGTGCTCTCTCTCGCGCACTCTCTTGCGCATTCCCTCTGTCACGCGCTCTTTCTCGCGCACTCCCACGCGCTCTCTTACGCGCACTCCCTCGCGCTCTCTTACGCGCTCCCTCACGCGCTCTCTCACGCGCTCTCTCACGCGCTCTCTCACGCGCACTCTCACGCGCACTCGCTCTCTCACGCGCTCCCTCACGCGCTCTCTCACGTGCTCTTTGACGCAATCTCTTGCGCGGTCCTTCACGCGCTCTCTCACGCGCTCTCTCACGCACTCTCTCACGCACTCTCTCACGCGCTCTCTGACACGTGCTCTCTCACGCGCTCTCTCACGCGCTCTCTCACGCGCACTCTCACGCGCACTCGCTCTCTCACGCGGTCCCTCACGCGCTCTCTCACGCACTCTCTCACGCGCTCCCTCACGCGCTCTCTCACGCGCACTCTCACGCGCTCTCTCACGCGTTCGCGCTCTCTCACTCGCACTCTCACGCGCACTCTCGCGCACACTCTCACGCGCACTTTCACACGCACTCTCACGCGCTCTCACACGCTCCCTCACGCGCTCTCTCACGCACTCTCTCACGCTCTATCTCACGCACTCTCTCACGCGCTCTCACACGCTCCCTCACGCGCTCTCTCACGCACTCTCTCACGCTCTATCTCACGCACTCTCTCACGCGCTCTCACACGCTCCCTCACGCGCTCTCTCACGCACTCTCTCACGCACTCTCTCACGCACTCTCTCACGCGCTCTCGCATGCGCACTCTCACGCGCTCTCTCACATGCTCTCTCACGCTCTATCTCACGCACTCTCTCACGCGCTCTCTCACATGCTCTCTCACGCAATCTCTCATGCGCTCTCTCACGGGCTGTTACGCATTCCGTCGCACTCCCTCTCGCACACTCTCTTGCGCATTCTCTCTCTCACGCGCTCTCTCATGCACACTCTCTCGCACACTCTCACGCGCTCTCTCACGCGCTCTCTCACGTGCTCTTTGATGCAATCTCTTACGCGGTCCTTCACACGCTCTCTCACGCGCTCTCTCACGCACTCTCTCACGCACTCTCTCACGCGCTCTCTGACACGTGCTCTCTCACGCGCTCTCTCACGCGCTCTCTCACGCGCTCTGTCACGCGCACTCTCACGCGCACTCGCTCTCTCACGCGGTCCCTCACGCGCTCTCTCACGCACTCTCTCACGCGCTCCCTCACGCGCTCTCTCACGCGCACTCTCACGCGCTCTCTCACGCGTTCGCGCTCTCTCACGCGCACTCTCACGCGCTCTCTCACATGCTCTCTCACGCAATCTCTCACGGGCTCTCACGCATTCCGTCGCACTCCCTCTCGCGCACTCTCTTGCACATTCTCTCTCTCACGCGCTCTCTCATGCACACTCTCTCGCACACTCTCACGCGCTCTCTCACGCGCTCTTTGATGCAATCTC